ATAGCAGAGGCACCAGACACTATGTGGCAGCAGTATTCTAAGCATGGCGAATGGTAGCCTTATAGATATGTAAGAGGGATTCTGGAGAGAAAAATTTGTCGAGCATCAAAGTGAACAATTTCTTTTAGCAGATGACCTAGCAATGGTTTTACTATAGTCTTTCACTTCATATCAGTAGAGAACGTTACCCCGAGAAAGTGCAACGAGTCCCTTTTCCTGGAGGTTAGCATCAGCCCTACTGATGGAATCTAGCAAGGGTTATTTCATGAGAAGTTCAGTTTTGGAGGCTTAAAAGAAACAAGGCAATTCCTGCCTCAGTTAACAACGGACTTTTGTCATTTTGGACATCGACTGGCATTTTGAACCTCTCGGACTGATAAGCCTTAATATCGAGGCAGGAGTAAATGGCGTGTGATCAGCTTAGATACAAAGTTGAGAGTTAATATCACCAGGAAAGTCATAAATGAAAATTAAAAACAGAGTAGGACTAAGAAGAAATCCAATTATCAATTATCTAAGACAACATTATCTGCCTTTCATCAGTATGGCTGATGCTAACCTCCAGGAGGTTTGATTTAAACGAGAATCAAACAGTGACCTTTGTTCGTACGAAAAGATGTGGACAAGTGGCTGTTCGGTATAAATCTCATTTCACGGTTTGATAACAAACCTGGATCAGTTCGAAAAAAAGGTTCCTGCAGACACCATAACCTTTCAGCTGATAAAAAAAAAAAACCTTCATACCATACCCTGTCAAACGTTTTCGAGATGTCCAATCCTAGACCCCGGACTTCACCGTTTCTACTTAGAGAATGATAGACTCTTTCCGTCATTATCGTCAGTACATCAGCGGCTAAGCTGGAGAGACTAAAGCCATATTGTTTGTCTGAGAAAAGACCATGCGTTGAACCAATTCACCATTAATTAGAGTCTCTAGAAGTTTCCCAAATCATACAGAAGGTTAATAGTTGTAAAGGTCGGACGGTTCACCAGATTTCTTAAAAACTGGATCAACAGATGATGACTTCCAGCAGGTAGTACAGCAGGAGGTTGCGTGGCATTTATTATATAGTTTAGAGAGAACAGGAGCCAGTTCGTGAGACCACTTAATTACTATTATAGGGCTAACATGATTTTGGGAGATCGAGGTTAGACGTGATAGCAGAAACCATGGAAGAGGTTATGTACATATCACTCAACAGAGACTCAGTTCTAGGAGTGAATTTAGGCAGGAGTATTCCGGATTTGTCGAGAGTAGAGATTCAGGAGAGTATACGAGCAAAGCATTCAGTTTTATCGGATTGGATATTAACACCTCATGCCGATTGAATAGTGGAAGATGTACACATATTTAATCCACTATTACAGGGACGCCACTGAACGCGAGAGCCGAAGTTATTATGCAATGCACCATTCTTTCGGCAAACAGGAACTTTGTTCCTTTGAAGACTCGGTTACATTTATTGCGGCAACGATAAACAAGCTATCTAAACTGTGAATGTGGGCATCATTGTTCCTTTAAATGCTCTGAGATTGGACTACGATCGTTCAAGTGAAACGTAAGCCTTCTCGTCATCGTCATTGTTGTAAAACCAATATACGTATTAACATTTGTATCAGAGATGCAATCTCCCAAAGGACATTTAAATTGATATACGATTTTGGTCTTTTGTAAAGCGCCAGTTAACGGAGAAAAATTGTTATGAATGACTAGCTTGGTTGTATTTCTGGTATTTTCGAGAAGGGATGAAAGCGTCCATGCCGGTCTTGATATAAAAAGAAACCTCAGTGGAGCTATATATAATTGGAAGTTTAAATATGTCAGTGCAAGGTGCGTCTCGGAGAAAATCACGGAGTCATTCCCTATCAGAATGCTAGTAACGGAAATAGGACTTATTGATAGGGGTTCCTGTTTAATAGAGGATTGGAACGAAATATAAATAGCTACTACAGAGTGGTCAGAATTTCCAAGGTCAGTGTTGTGAAGCTCGTCAAGAGAGAGGGGAGGAGGTAGTAAATAAATCAAGTAGAGAAGCATATTGCTTGGTTTGGTTAGGGAAACAAGTATAAAAATCCACGATTTCAGTAAGGGATTAGACAATGGAAAAATTTAATGGTTGAACACTGGCAACAACACTACCTTTAGACTCTTTAAGCAACGTGTCGTGGCTTAAAATCACCGAAGACAAAGACGTTCGCAGATAGATGGAGAGAAAGTTCCGTTTCTACACTGTCAGCTACTATGTCTAATATACTGCAACCCTGAGAAGACAGGGAGCGATAAAGGAAAAAGAGATAGCAAACAGAGTTTAGTAACGAAAAAGGAAGCACATAAAGGAGTAGTTTGGGGCCTGGAAAGACAATTCCCTGGCCATCGGATGTAAACACAAAGCCATGAATGCTGGAATCGTTGCGGCAAAGTGAGGGGTGATAGTCTGAAACCAAGAGTTCATATTATAATGACATAACTATCTAATCCTGTATTAATAGTAAGTGTGATCGATTCAACAAATTCAAATTGGCAACTGATCTAAAAATTTACCTATACGCTGTTATTACCTGTAGAAAGGAGAAGCTTGTTAATTTTAACGCCACCGTAACGAAACTTATCTTTATCAATTATCTAAGACAACACTATCTGCCTTTCATCAGTATGGCTGATGCTAACCTCCAGGAGGTTTGATTTAAACGGGAATCAAACAGATAGAGATAGGTTTGGTTTGCATGAGAGTTAGAAGGGTAGACATAGGTTTGGTTTACATAAGAGTCATAAAGGTAGATATAGTTTTGATTTACACGAGAATCAAACAGACAGAGATAGGTGTGGTCTGTATGAGTGTTAGAATGGTATACACAGTTTTGGTTTCTCAGGCGGTTCAAAACTGTAGATATGGATTCTGTTTTTCAGAAGGGTCAAAAAATACATATATGTTTGGTTCGCACAAGAACCAAAAAGTTAGAGGTATTTTTTTTTAATTTTATTTTATTTTTATTTTTTTAAGGTTTCGCCCCAAGGAAGGCTGGAGTGCAACTAGCACACAAGGTGTTACAGAAAGTGGGAGCAAGATTAAAGAGGCGCGATTGAGGAAAGGATGAAGAGAAGGACGGGGAATAGATCAAGGCATCTGGAGATGTCGAGTGACATTGCATTTGAATAATTGAAGATTATATCTATGAGGGAATCAAGTAAAAGAAAGGAAGTTCCACAGATAGGAAGTTCCACAGATAGGAAGTTCCACAGATAGGAAGTGTGAGACATGAAGCTATTGGGTTAGAAGAGACGGTTACATTTAAACGTTTCGACAGTGAAAGGATGGGACTGAGATGCCAATCTAGTTGCACGTTTAAATTCATGCAGTTTGGGAACTAGAGTAAATAGCTCGTCGGAGCAATTACTGTGAAAGTATTTGCAGAAAAAACAGTAAGGCGTCGGCGCGTCTGTTCGAGATCGACTGTAAACAAGATGCCATATGCCAACCATATTACATATCCGTCTCTGGATTTTGTCGAGGACCTTAAGACGACAGCGGCGGCTCCAGAGGTGTTCCTTTTGGTGGTTTTTGTGGACAGACATGTCTTTGGCGGATTCGTGATCCCAGCTGACAGAGCGGGAATAGCAAAATTATAATATAAAATATGAGAAAATAAGAAGTGAAACTATTAAAATTTTGAAGCGTTATCTTTCTTATGTGCAATGTCGCTTGGACGAACTTGACCCTCCACAGCGTCTTGCATTTTTTTTGCTGGAGATTTTGTCCCTTTTACATATTTCCTTGCATTCATTCAGTCTAAAGTAGTTCCCTTGAAAAATCTTCCTGATTCCTCAGGCTTTCAACACCCCGTCGCATAGAGTGAGATAGGAAAAGTGTCAGTTAAAATTAAGTAGTTCCTAAGAACAAAAAGACTGAGTCGAACAAGTAGTGTTCCCAACAAGATCAACTGCAGCTAGCAAGCTACGAAAAGCGTCCTTCTGATAACTGTTAAGTGAGAAGATAAAATATTACATAAAGTTGACGTTAGACAGTATATTTCTTTAGTATTTCAGACTGTGTTTTTTCTTTTTCTTATCCGTCTCTGATTATTTCGTTTCATTTTCAGCATTTTCTTAATAGAAGAATATTTTATTCCCTGGCAAACAGCAAACGTGAAGTTGGGCAATTGTTTACTGAGGGAAATTAAAAAAAAAAGTTCTGTGACGTTTTGATAACTGAAAGATTGGAAAAATAATCAAACACGCCATATACATTAAAATATGAAAGCCTTTAGCAGAAGTTGCCAAATATAGCTATTTCCTCATCTTTACTTTCATGAACCATGTTCTTTCAGAACGCAAGCGAACATTGTTCTGCACAACTTTCACTTTTTTGCTCTAAGTACCGTTTGTATATTTCCTAACCATTTTTTTCTTGAATTACAGTTGTATCATACAGATGCATTTAGAATTTACTAGTTGTTTTTTCTTGCTTCTCATAATCTTGATATATTTTGTAAGTGTTAATTTTATCCCAGTCATCTTTCCTCGTTATATGATCAAGACTTTTTAAATGTAACTTCCTTCTTTTACTGTCTAGATTTCTGTGATGATTATCATTATTTACATTATTGCCACTAGAGCTATTGTCTTCATTTTTGTTGTTGTTGTCGCAATGTTTCAGTCATTGTACCCTCCGATCGTGATGTGATGATTGTCGATCAGGGCTTCCTTCAGGGAATTACTGAACACGTGATTTAATCAACGGTTGTAGATCTTTCACATTCCACTAAATATGTCTAGGGTAATATCTAATTGTTAATTAGAAATTCTCAGTTGTTGCTCACCTTGTCCCTATTGAGGGCACACTGCTTGGATCCTTGTTCGTACCAATAATTATTATGACATTCCACTAGGTTATTTTCCTGTGGGACAATTCTGAGTGGAGAATGTGAAGCCTCTAACTTGTAAGTATTCGTTGGCTTGATGTTATTATTTTCCATAACGGTGACTTGTTCACTTATGGTACAATTTTGAGAGACAGAGAGATATAGCAAAGTATTAAAATAAAGAAAAGAAAAAAAAGGAAATAAAAAAGGAAAAGAGAAAACGAAAGAAAAATAGTAAAGATAAAAGGAAAGAGAAAAGAAAAGAAAAATAGTAAAGGAAAAGGAAAGAAAAAAGGAAAGAAAATATTAAAGAAAAAGAAAGAGAAAAGTAAATAAAAATAGTAAAGAAAAAAGGAAATAGAAAAAGAAAGGAAAATATTAAAGTAAAAGGAAAAAGAAAAAAAGAAAATTAATAAAGAAAAAAGGAAAGAGAAAAGGTAAGAAAATAATAAAGAAAAAAGAAAGAGAAAAAGAAAGAAAAATAGTAAAGAAAAAAGGGAAAAAAAGGAAAGATAGATAGTAAAGAAAAAGGAAAGAGAAAAGTAAAATAAAAATAGTGAAGAAAAACGAAAGAGAAAAAGAAAGAAAATAGTAAACAAAAAAGGAAAGGGAAAATAGTAAAGAAAAAAGGAAAGAATCGAAAGAAAAAATAAAATGTTTCTGACCAAGATTTTCTCGTTAGACAACAGACGCAAGTTCAATCCTCTCCAGTTACATTTAGACTCACATCAGGCGTAGACATTCCGACATTTGCCTAAGTTAAGCCAATAACTCTCGGCACGAAATATCGAATAAGAAACGAGCGCTGGTCGATAGAGCGATATGGATAGATAGCCAAAAGAAAGAATAAAAAAGGACAAACGAACTGAAATAGATATTTCGATACACCGAGAGATGCGAACATAGAGAGACAGCTACGCAAGAACAATTACGATCAATAGATAAAAAGAAGTGAGAAAGCGCCAATGATGAGGATTGAGAGTGGATGGAAAGCTGCATGTCCTTAAGAAACAAGTACAAAAGTAAATGAAGCAAATAATGGGAAGGAAATAAAAAAAAATAGAAAGAAAACAGCGAACAAAAGAAAACGGAGAGAGAAATAAAGGAAGAAAGAAAGAAGACAAAAGAATGAACGCCAAACGAGATCGAGGAAGGAAGGAAGGAAAAAAAAAAAAGAAGACCGGAAGGAAGTAATGCAAGGCTTCCGGAAGTTCACCAAGATGGAAAAAAGCGGGAAATGGAAGAGCATCAAGAACATGTAAAGAAGGAAGCAATAAATGAGGAAGCAGAACAAATAGCAGGTAAATTAGCGAAGAATGGTGGACAGATGAGAATAGCTAATTTGGTCGCAGGTCATAGTGTAATGGGAGAATTGAACTGAAGAAATCAGGCATGAAAATGCCGTGAATTCTATAACTCTGAAATTCCACATGCTTCTAGTGGCGTTTGGCCCTTACCGATAGCATAATGTCGAGATAAAATAACAACCATGATAACGTCTTGCTTGAATTTACGTGATATGTTGATATTGTAGACTCAGAAGTATTTACGCATAATATGCTGTTTTATAAAAGGTTTAACGGTAAGGCAAAACTTTCGTTCACAAGGGTTGTAAAGCTCAAAATTCTGGAATTTGGGATTCAAGATCGAATATCGTATGGTTCTTCCAATGCTCACCTCGAACAACTGTTCTTTGAAAAATGTCAAAATTTCTCCTATTTCTCCTTTTTCTCCTTGTCTTCTGTTATATCTCTATATATACCTACGGAATTTCCATGAGTAGCATGTCACAAGGACTGATGAAGACAAATATCCATCAATGAGCATTTGAAAAAAAAAAAAAAACTCCACTCATTATTAATAAGTTTAATCAGAAGTAATTTCCGCTTTGGTCATCAAATTTATTCTGTAAAATGCCCAATCATATTTTATTCAATATATATATATATTATATATATATATATATATATATATATATATATATATATATATATATATATATATATATATATATATAAAAGTGAATATTTAAGTCAACACTTAGAGGCGAAAGTCTGTTTCATGCTAGATGCAATCGTCAGGCCAAGAGGACTGTAATTTTTCTCGGCTATTTATATATAAGGGTCAGTGGTGCATTGTGGGTAGTCTATTTTGGCACTTATTTTACCGGAAGTCGTTTACTTGTTTATTTATTTATTTGGGTTAAATTATTTTGCTTGTTTTCATTTATTTTAATTTTATTTTTATATTTTATTTTTATTTCTTATCTTAGACATTTATTTATTTATTTTAATTTTAATCATTATTTAATATATATATATATATATATATATATATATATATATATATATATATATATATATATATATATATTTATACATATTTATATATATATCTATGTATATTTATATATATATATGTATATATATATATTTATGTATGTTATATATATATAATTATATATATATTTATATACATATTTATATATATTATATATTTATATAATATATATATATATATATATAGAAATTCATAGATATATATTATATATATATATATATATATATATATTTATTTTGATTGTTTTTACTTGTTTTTTTTACGTATTTTATTTTTAATTTTTATTTAATCTATTCCGTCTATTCTAACGTGGATGGTTGGTTAATTTATTTTTTATTTGTTTGCATTACTTTATTTTACTTTTTTTATAATATATTTGTTTATATGTGTTTATTCATTACAGTTGTCGATTTTAAGTAAAAATCAATCAAAAACCTGCACAGTTTGCTTGGAAGAAAAATAGCTATTATTACCTACACAGACCACAATAAAATAGTAAATAAACGATTTGAGTTCATCTTAAAATGCAGACATGAAAACATATTTTTACTACGTTACTTAACAAACCAATCCCACCAAAATAACCGTGAGAATAGACTCCAATAACCAATACAAAAATTGGACGTAAAAATAGCTATAACTGTTATATATCGATAAAAAAAATCACTACGTTACCCAAAAATCGCAAACGAAATAGAATAAATGAAAATATAGAAAATAAAAAATAAGCAAATAAATAAAAAAAACTAATAATACATAATCCAAATCAATAAATAAATGAACCAATTAACAAATCATCGTGCTAAAATAACCATTAGAACTAATAAAAATAAGCATAGATAAGCAAAAACAAGTAAAAATATTCAAATCAAATAAATAAATTAAAAACTCTCCACCCGCCAAAATAGCAGAATACGCTACGTCAAGCAATCTAAATATTACACTAATAAATAGCTTAAATTATCTTCCCAGACCAAAACAAACTATTAATAAGCGACCTAAGCTAATCCCACAAAAGTTTTTATTACGTTAATAAAACATCAGAAAACAAAACCAATAAATAATACAAAATGAAAATAAAAAAGAACGACAAATTAACCCAATCAAATAAATAAACAAACCAGCCACTTCTGCAAAAATAACCACCAGAACAGATTACCCACAATTCAGCACTGACCCATATATATAAATAGCCGAGGAAATATCCAGCCTTCGGGATATGACGATTGCGTCCAGCATAAAACAGCCAGTCTGAGTGTTGATTTCAATGTTCACTTTTATATTTGTATTTACATACGCTCTGTCTCTGATATTCAGCACTTTATCCCATAATTATCAGCTTAAAACTATACTTCTTCATATATATATGTATGTATGTATGTATATGTATTTTCTGTTTATGCGTTATTTTTAATAGATACCATTTATATAAATAAATACTTCGTTCTTTTTAAATAAACAGTATTAATTAAATTTACCAGTATGGATGCTCGAAAAATTTCGTGGAAAATATGTACTTCTCTGAATGGAATGGAACCTGTAACCCCAAAGAGAAACCATCATTTGATCTGGTGTTCTGTTAGTCATTCAGTCACAAAGAAACTTCTAGATGGCAAAAACCAAATTACCGTTTATATACAAAAAAATCTTCGACGATATTTCTCGAACTATCATATGTCCACGAAGCGGACCTTAACGTAAATATTGGCAACACATTATTAAATGGATTAAGCCCGATAAGTATTTGATATATTTTCTGCTTATACATTATTTGTAACAGATATAATTTATTCAACCCGGTAAATGTAATTAATAGACTTTACTGAAAGAAACGGAGCATTTACTTAAATAAATTGTATCAATTAATAATTCTAAACAGAAATAATTGTCGGCCTTAAATACTATTCAATATATATATATATATATATATATATATATATATATATATATATATATATATATATAAATAAAATATATATATATATATATATATATATATATATATATATATATGTATATATGAAATGTATTTTAGTTCGACAATTATATATATAATGTGCTTTGTTAATTAATATGATGGATAAGTTCTGCTTATCATTTCTTTTATGAAACTTAATTTGTTATTAAAGTTAATATATATATATATATATATATATATATATATATATGTATATATATATATATATATATATATATATATATATATATATATATATATATATATATATATATATATATATGGTGCCCTGTCGCCTGTATGTTTTGATTCAATACACACACACACGTGTGTATGTGTGTGTGTGTGTGTATGTATATATTAGGTTGTTGTAGCCTCTGTCTCGTATCGAACTCCTTCTGAGGTTTTGCTGATAAAGTTGCATAACGATATATATTCAAAACCAATATTACCCAGGGTAATTTGGATAGATATATTTTCATTTTGACCAAAGGTGGGTCCCGGAGGTGGGAGTCACACGCTTCTCACTGATTTTTGTCTTTTCATATAAATTCAATTTTAATTTGAACAAGGGAATGACTCCTAGGTGACTTGGATAATTATTTTTTATTTTGTGTTCCCGTGTGGGGGGCATAACCCACCCACTGAAAATTTGTTTCCCTTTGCTTTACATTTATATTTGAAGAAGGGAATGACTCTCATCCAAAATATTGAAGGAGAAAGCCAGAAGATGCAGGTCACATTTGCAAGATCAAAATAAGACAATATGGACATCCGGTTGAGAAAGAAATCAGCCATCATTGTGTAGTACCTTACAATACATATTTGTTGTGACAATGCATCTGTCATATAAATGTTGAAATCGGTTCATCAATTCATCCCATCAATTATTGCATCGAATATATGTAAATATCAGAGATCAGATCAAGCAGTTTTCACCTTCCCCATGAAAAGAATACCTTTGATTTAAATTAAATTTCAACAAGGTAATATATATATATATATATATATATATATATATATATATATATATATATATATATATATATATATATATATATATATATCTTTAAAATATATATATATATATATATATATATATATATATATATATATATATATATATATATATATATATATATATATATATATTAGGAAGGCACTGCGTAGTAGTGGATAGCAGCTCGGATAGAGGAATCGTAGAGCCGATTTCGAATACCAGCGCAGTACTCATTGTAAAGTGACCAATAACAGTGATAAAGCTAACATATTTCAGTGCTATCCATACAACTGTGTATATATATATATATATATATATATATATATATATATATATATATATATATATATATATATATATACGAGAGTCCTGAAATTAAGTCGTTACAATGCAATCTGCATTAAAATTCATGCAGCTAATGAGGTATATATCCGAAGTGAATCCTAATAATTTAAAATATTAAAACTGATTCACGAAAGAGCCCAACGTATTATAACAGAACATATATATTTCTAGATTGGAAATCCAAATTTACCTCATTCGAATAGCTGTTTCAACCAACTAGACCTATATTCTAGTTATTGTCAACTCAGATGTGTGAAGGAATAAAATAGATCGTTTAAAAATTTAAGTTCTTATCTTATTGATTCATACTTCTGAGTTGACAATACCAATATTATAGGTTTTGTTGTTTGAAATAGCTAT